CCTGGTAACTATGGTAACTAAGGTCAGAGGTCAGATCTTCAGTGTAAGTTTGGAGCTAGTGTAACTCCCCGAGCAGTCAATTTGCAACGTTCCGGGGGCGTAAACAAATGTTCTTGAAAACCACTATTTTTTTCTATTATCATAACACACAACGCCGCTCACAGCTGGGTTCATGACAAATGATGGAACAAATCCAAATGGCTTTCAAGCATGTATGGACTGGCATTAACGGAATAAAGTTGAGTCGTGCAGAGTGAAGAACATTTGTTTTTCCCTCTGTAACCATGGAAATGATTATAGCTTTTGTTTTTTCACAATAAAATAGCTGTAAAGGATTGATTTCGTTGGATTGATGTCATTGGAAATACTGATTATGTGAGCAAATATTTTTCAAAAGATGCCTTCTGCCTGTGAGAGCCAGATCCCGATAGATCTCTGAAGCTAAGCAGGGCAGGGCCTTGTTAGCATCGTGATGGGAGACCTGAAAGCGCCAACCTGTCATTGTGTCCGTAGGCAAGACTCTTAAACCACATTGCCTAGAATGAGTCTGGTGTGTGTGTGTGTGTGTGTGTGTGTGTGTGTGTGTGTGTGTGTGTGTGTGTGTGTGTGTGTGTGAGAAAGATGGGGGTCGGAGAGCCCGATGGCACTTACTGTTGGCCTTGCTTCTGTTATTGTGCCCCAGGGCAGCTTTGGCGTTATCTAGTCAATGCAATGTGAAGCTTGTTATTGAATATTTGGATGCCACTTTAAAATTTTAATCTCGGAATGTCAAATGATTTCCTTCATAGCATCATACTTCCTTGATGCATATCCTGTTTCACCTCCACTTCCTTGCGTTAATGATTTAGTCTCTGATCTCTCTCTGGTCTCTTCCCGGTCTCTCCCATCTCTCCCTCTCCAGTCCCCCTCCAGTCTCTCCCCGGTCTCTCTCTGGTCTTGTGTCTGGTCTCTCCCTGGCAATCCCTGGCGATCATATTGCCTCCTTTACTACTACACAACAGCACCAGTCCTTTCTCTGCTGTCTGACTAAAATAACATGTTTCCAGTAAGTGCAAATATTGTGTCATCAAAAAGCACAGTGATACGTCTCAATGTACTGCTGGAGTCAAATATCCAAGTTTGGGACATTTTAGAGAGAGACAGTGGAGACATGCTGTGTGTATGCATCCAAAGAGCCTGTCTGCGTTCAACCTAAACTACATTTATGTTATTAATGGCCATCGTGCTTACATGGAGCACATCTGTTGCTGCAGAGGAGAGAGGAACGAATTTTAAAGTTACCATATAGTATGTATTCATTCTATAAACTAAGGTGCTAGTGAGTAAAAACAAATTTGTAACCTATTCAATTGTTTTCATGTAAGAAATAATTGAAGTAAGGCCTGTATGTACAAATAATAAGATGCAATAGGGAAATCCATGATGCACGCATTCATTTTGTTATCAAGAATTTCAGTAAATGTTCATGTTGTGGAAAGAGATAAAATTGTGTGTAGTTTTGGAGTTAATAAAACAATGGGTAATAATTTTATCCCTCGTCAATTTCAGTGGATTTGCCAAAGTAAAATGATCTACCACTAAGAGTAAGTAAGTAAGTAAGTTTTTATTTATATACCGCCTTTTCACTGCAGATCTGAGTCTCAAAGCGGTTTACAATTGTTAATTTTTGGGCATTTGTCTCTCACTCCACACAGAGATGGGAGCCGGGTCGCCAGTACAGGAGGCGCATGCCAGAACTATTGGACATGTTTTTAGTGGTAGGGGAAACCGGAGTACCCGGAGGAAACCTACGCAGACACGGGGAGAACATGCAAACTCCACTCAGAAAGGCCCTGGTCCGACCGGGATTCGAACCCAGGACCTTCTTGCTGAGAGGCGAAAGTGCTATCCACTCAGCCACCGTGCCGTGAAGAGTTATTCACCTTTTATCTAGTCGCACTGATCTGGAGAGAGTATTGACTTCCAGGTCATTTGTCTAATGAGAGACAGTAAAGTCAAAGTCCTGTTTACTAAAAACATCTGAGTGAAGTGGTGTGTGGGTAGAAAAGCTGGACCCAACACACAAGAGAGAGAACAACAACAGGAGTTCACTGGGGATATTTTTTTGTGAGCGAGTGTTTGTGCAGATGACCTCTTAATCAGAACAGCCCGGCTTGCATGGTCCAGCGGCACAGCACCAGGTGTGTTTTTTATAATGCTGTCCTATGGAGGCTCCAATTTCTGTGATCCTGGATCGACTTTTTGTATTTTGAATTTGTCGTACCAGGCTCACACATGGCACAAGTCCAAAGGGTCTAAAGAGATCTGCAGGATTTGCATGTTTTGTATGCCATGTAATCATTATAGAATTATATTTAGTCAAATACTGTAAAAATAAACACTATATTTAGGATATATTAGGTCAGATTGTTTGTGGTAGAAAATTCTAAACGTGTCCTATACAAGTAGTAGTAGTAGTAGTAGTAGTAGTAGCAGGGACGTGCAGTCAGGGGAGGCAGGGGAGGCAGAGCCTCACCTGCCATTATTGGAAACTAATAATTATTTTAGTTTAAATATATAATTTATATCCACTGTCCTATGCTTTTAATGTATATTCGGCACGGTTCCCATCAGTTTTGATCATTTCTGAAGTCAAAATCGCCGAAATCCCGTTATTCCTATTCAAAGAGACGAGGTGAGGCAGCGCTCCTGCGTGCCGCACCCCAGACCGCTCCCTCACAGTGTGTGTGTGTGTGTCTGAGTGCACTCAGCTCGTGCAGTTGATATATCACCGTTTGTTTCAAATATCCTGCTTTAAAAACATTTTTTAAACTCCTCTTAGTGTTTAGTAGTGTATTGCACGTATGTGTGTACAATTTATATTTAGTTTAAGTCTTTTGATCGTAGATGAACACACAAGGAAAAAGCTTGGCGTGAGGCAGGCGGTATCTGTGCCTCACCGCTAGGGGTGATAGTGAGCATAAAGTTCATACCAGAGTTGCTAACAAACAATCAGCCCAAAATGCTATTTCTTTTGCTGGAAAATGGATGATTTGAATGAAGATTTTTTTTCTCAATTGGACTTTCAAACAAAGAAAGAATTAATATAGACTGGGAGACCACCACTGGACTTACGAGGTTAGTCCGGCTGCGGGGGAGGAGTTTGTTAATCTGTGTTTTATGTTGAACATTGACAGATACCGGCAAAGTAGTGCTTTTCCGAAAAACACTGATTCAAACACTGCTCAAGAGTTCTGCAACTTGTTTAAATTATTGTTTATGTTCCTCGCGTCTCTCTCTCCTCGCGTCTCTCTCTCCTCGCGTCTCCGTCTCTCTCTGCTCCTCTCTCCTCGCGTCTCTCTCTCCTCGCGTCTCCGTCTCTCTCTGCTCCTCGCGTCTCCGTCTCTCTGCTCCTCTCTGTCTCTCTCTGCTCCTCTCTCCTCGCGTCTCTCTCTCCTCGCGTCTCCGTCTCTCTCTGCTCCTCGCGTCTCCGTCTCTCTGCTCCTCTCTGTCTCTCTGCTCCTCTCTCCTCGCGTCTCTCTCTCCTCGCGTCTCTCGCACCTGCGCTTCTTAAAGATGTTGTTTGATGCGGAGCAGAGTCAGCAGCTAATTTGTTGTGAGATTATTAAAAGAAGCTGGTTCTCTTATCTTTACAGTATATAAAGTTTGTGGATGTCATTGCATTGGTGATTAAATGCTATTTTATTTGAATAATGATTGTAAATCTGACTTTTAAAGTCAGTGCCTCCCCAATCACAAACCTCACCGCACGTCCCTGAGTAGTAGTAGTAGTAGTACTATACAAGTGTAAATGACATTAACTTAAATTGCTTACAAACTTATTACATGCAATAATAAAATGTCAAGACACGGAATATATTTTCTTTGCAGTTTATTTCTCTTGCAGTCCTGCTGCTCAGTCACTTACACTCAGTGTATTTTCATCCTCTCATTTCAGTAAACAGTGTCGGCTCATGTTAATATTTACAGTACAAATGTTTCCATACAACACAACAGAGCGTTTCAGAAACACTTCCTATATGGTCACCAACACACACACACGCAACACACGTGGAGATAAATACATTCACACTGTCAGTGGTACTCAGTCAACAGAAAAAAGACTGAATTATCACATTTGGTATACAAAATAACTAACTAAATAATTTATAAATGTAATTGCCTTGGGCACTGTTATTCCAATTCACTTGAGCCCTTAGCGAGACCATAACATTTTTGTTTTTAAATGTATCTCAAATCATATCCATAGGTGGAAGGTTTACATGAATAGTATCTGCCAACAAACACTGGCTTTAGGCAAGAAAGAAGGCTTCATCTTCTGTAAACACGCACTGTATCCTCAGACCTCAAACTGGCCTTCAAACCTCATGTTTGTACGTCACTTGCATGACTCCATGGAAACAGAACGGTAAAACTGTATTAAGGATCATTCTTCATGAAGATACATTTGGTGCCAGACTGTGGAGGATAAATGCCAAAGCAACAAAGTGCTTGTCCAGGCGTGTTCCATTACAGACAAAGTATCAAATCTGGACCAAGTTTTGAGCGTGAAGAAACTTTGACTCGAATTCTTTCTCAAATCAAAACTCAATCCAGATGACTGCTTGTAAAACTGTATCTGCAATCCAAAGGAACAATAATTACATGGAAACCAGCAGTAAAAGGTGCACATCAAGGACCTGTAGTCAGGTTTGTGGAGTGGTCATGGAGATGTTCACACACACACATATTGTTTATACATTTCCAGTGCAATAGCATATTTAAAAAAGATATATATTTGCTTGAAAAATTACCCCACTCTAGAAAATGTTCAACGTTGAAAAATCCCAGTGGATGGAAATTGGCCTGCATTGTTATACAACTTTCACAATCTATACATATTCAAGTATTGTCCAGACCTGGCTTGGACTGAGTCTTTGATAGATCTTAGGAACGGTGTCCATCCTTGATCTTGATCCAGGCCTGGGGTTTTGGGGAAGAAGACCGGTCTAAGTCTAGCTCTAAGTCATGACGTGCTTGGTCTCTCCTTTGGCCGTAGAGCACAGATCTTTATAAAAGTTGGACTGCAAAAAGCGCGGATATGCGTTATTCTCCATGAGGCTGTAGACTTTCCGCTGGGCCTGTACAAAAAGCAAAGGACTGGGCTCTTCCAGGTTCTGAGTGATGGCGTTTCTGGTCTGGTAGTCCAAGTTTATCTGAGGGAGGACAATGCAGGATTACTTAAACAGGCAAGAATCAAACCAAAATAAAAAATGAAACTTTGAACGGTAGACTAATGTTATGGGAACACATCTTTTCTATCATTATTGAATAGAACATCACCTCAACGACAACCACTACTGTTCAATTCCATTCATTTTTGTGTAGCCCTAACTTGAATTTATAAAGTTGTTGATTCTTCAACAAGATCAGACAATCAAACAGTTTTAACATGGGAAATGCGATAATAACAAACACATAGAAGCCATAGGTCCATATAAGGGGCAGAATAGCCGACATCCAAAAATGTTTGTAAGTGTTAACAAATGTTCTTAAATGTCCCAAATCTTCACTGTCTTTAGACCCTCCTGCATTGGCAAAGAAGGTCTTAAAAACCCAGTGGGAAAAATATGAGAAAGTGAGAAACCTTGAGTAGGCCCAAATTGAGAGAGGGACACAGGCAGACAGACTTTAGATTCAGGACTCAGACTGTAGAATGGGAATTGAGGCCGTATGGAACTATGAATGCTACAATATTCCACCACACAACGCAAGATATTTCTATTTGATGGTGAAGCGTCTCTCTCACCTCTTTTGGCGCCTCGCTGCAGACAAACTCCTGGTAGATGCTGTTTCCTCGTGACTCCAGGTCTTTGCGAGAGCTGAGAGTCCTGTATTCTTCGCACTTGGACCAAAACTCAATGTTCTCCTCACAGAACTCAGACTTCAAAAAGACGAAGAATGCTGCTTTACCGTCTGCAAAAAACAAAAAACAAAAAATGATATAATCTGGTTGCTTTTTTTGATGTTCTTTTATTTTTTTCAAGTATAGATTAAGAGGTTGTTTGTGGTGGAAGAACAAGGGAATGTCAGTTATTATTTCCTTGAGCTCTCTGTTCTGCAGAAGTAGTATTTTAAATATTGCATAATGTTAGGTGTGTTTTTAAATAAATCAATTGCATTAACTTTTTCAGACCCATAGTGGAAACAATAGAACCTGAATAAATACATTTTTCAAAGTGAAATACATTGTCTTTAACCAATGGGCGAGTTTTGTGGTCATCCGTCCTGCGTTATAGACACTGTGTTTATGTTATTATTATGTTATCATTTTACAGTGTTTTAATTATTATGTGCCATTTTCGAGTACTTGTACTTGTGCGTGTGGAATGTGCTATATAAATAAAATGGATTGGATTGTGTTTAAGGCTTTTAACCATGTTCATCCATCTTGTGAGTTATATTTAGACTGCTGCAACTGGTTAGAAATCAACTTTGTATATACAATTCCAAAGACAGCTACCAGGGGGAGGGGGAAAGAACTGAGGGTTGAGGGTTCTTACATTTGTGACTGAGGAGGTGGTCAAGGGACTGGCCCCAGCGGAGGACATCGTCAGTGCTCGGCCTAAAGGCACAACAGAAAAACTATATTTAGACTTTACCCAAAACAACACAATGAATACACCTGGAGTTACACTACATATGTTGCACTGGTCACACAATTACTAAATTAATATAAACTTTACCTGCTGGGTTTGTTCTTCATCAGACGTGTGTTTTTCTTCAACAATAACGTGAAGCGATTCTTCCAACTTTTTCTCCTGAAAGTAAAATACTGTTAGTACAATATGTCGTTTATGCGCAAATATGTTAAATACAGTAGTACGGTTTATTGTGTATAAAATTGGTAATAATTTAAAAATCTTCACACTTTGTAAATACAGTGGCTTTGTGAAATCACTTGTTTTTTGTCTAATTCCTCTACTGTATACTACTAAAAATGGCCCTAAATAATTGTTTGTTTGTTTCTGGCAAATGTCTTCAGACTCGCTCTAAAAATAACTTCTGATATGTACTTTAGGCTGCCTTCATTGGGGTCAGGTCAATTGGTCAATAGTCCAGTTGAGGATTCCCATAGAAGCCAATGATTTAATCACTTTTGAATGTTATAGATTTTTCACTTTTTTAGATCTGTTGTCACTGTCGCAAAATTTGTGTTTCTTTCTATGTACTCCATTGGAAGACGTTACAAAGCATCTCAACACATTACTACACAATTCAAGCAATTCGTTGGTACCCCCAAGGTGCTTCACAAGCTAAACTCAAGACATATCAATTCAAAACAGACAATAACATTTAAAAACATTGTAAGTAGATGTGAAAAATATTGTATTTTTGTAATTCTTGAATTTTAGAAAAAAAAAATAAGAATGAAAGTATACATGCAAAAAATACTCATATGCAAACATAAATAACAGTTTTCAACCTGGACTTAAACAATGCCAGAGACGTGGCCTGTCTTACAAGCTCACAGAGACTATTCAGGATTTTAGCTGCATCAATTTGAAAATCACAAACGACAAAATGAAGCAATAATATTAACCCGCAATTGTTTGAAGACGTTATCATTTTCACTACTCAGAATTCACTTTATACAGCTAGAAACACATAACAGATTTTAATAAAAATAATGTCTCTCTTTGATTTATTCTATTTTTACAAGTCTCTCCAAAGTAATGCATTTCACACAACATATGTACATAAATCCAAAAGCTCTTACCGAATCCCTTTCTTGTCTGACGTACAATCCGTGCTGGGGTCAGTAAATGCCATGGTGTTGGACTATAGAGTGGACAGTGCTTCTCTCATGTTTATCACTGCTCTGCTCTGCGCTGCTCTTTTAAGGACTAGGGAGGCGGGACCCAGGCCTCAGAGCTCAGAGCTGATTGGCTGACGGTGCACAAACAGTTCACTTGTCCTGGCTCGACAGAAGAGTGACGCAAAGAGGAACTGCATACGTCCATCATCAGTCACAATAGTGTTACTGTACTGATGCCAGATATTTTTTCCATTAGGCCTAATACGATATAAGGACTCAATATAAAGTAATCAGCAAATGAGTCAAGTTGAGCATATTTAAGATGTTATTTTGCAATGCATTTGTGAACGTTTATCAATAATACTAATGTAATAAAGTTCATTCTAAAATTCCTATCAATTAAATTCAATTACTGTACATTTATTTTTTGTATTGCTCTAATTCACAACAGCAGTGATTTTGTAAAGTCTCAGAGGACTATACAAAACCGTAAAAAAATCGCCAACAGATCAGAGACAGTTCAAACACAAAACTTACACTGCTGCACACAAAAATTGCATGACAAACACAAGTAATAAATCATCACAAAAAAAAAACGATAACGCATGAACTAAATAGATAATGAATTAATAGTATGAGACATGAGTCAGTCTTTGGTGTTCATTGAGTTTTTAGATAAGCCTCAGTTTTGAGATAAGGCTATTTTTGTCCTCAGTTGGTACATTTCAGTCTGTTCCTGTTATGCCTGTTTTGCAAACTATGTCCTTACTGGCATATAGTTCTATACATGGATCTATTATAATATCTGGATAGGGTATTTTGAGCTTGGAGCTGAAGGATCCATGTGCTCGGGGGATTCTCAGGGTACTGCAGAATAATTTCAAGTGGTCTACCCAGAAATTATGCCCATGGAACTCAAAGTAAACTGAAGCAGCTCGACCTCAGCTGACAGAGAACCTACAGCTTTCATAAAGGTCGGATTTTTTGATGATTTTAGTCGTCATCCTGAACTGTTTTTCTTCTTAAATCTATATCGGTTTTCTATAAATCCTCACTTTAATGCAACAAACTCTGCTCTATCCTCTCCGCACTAACTCCGCTCTGATCAGCAGCTCTGATTGGTCAGGACCATGGATCTATTATATTAACTGGATAGGGTATTACTAGCTTGTAGCTGAATAACTCATGTGCTCAGGGGATTCTCGCGGTACTGCAGACTGAACCAGACTAAATTCACGTGGGCTACCCAGAAATGTTCCCCATAGAACTCAATGCATATTAAAACAGCTCGACCTCAGCTGACAGAGAACCTACAGCTTTAATAAAGATCGGATTTTGTGGGGATTTTAGTGTCCCTTGTCATCCTGAACTTTTTTCTTCTTAAATCCTTCGGTTTTGTTTAAATCCACACTTTAGTGCCACAAACTCTGCTCGTCTGGCTCTCGCTCTAACTCCCGCTCTGATGAACTGCTCTGATTGGTCAGAGCGCGGCCGAGTCCCTCTGTGCACGTGCGTGAGACCCGGTGTGAGACCCACACACTCGTGTTTGACGCAACGCATTATGGGAGATCATCCACTGCGCTGAACCGGGAGGACCAGACGATGCCCAAATACAGGCGAGTTTCCCATAGATCTTTGCGAGTTCCAGGCAACTTCCGCTAATCTTTCAGGCCCCATGCCGTCACAAAGCGCCACTGAGCACAACCATTCATTTGAATAGGGCGCCATCTTGAATCGCCGGGGCTTGGTCAGGACGCTGTGTGCCCCTCTGTGCACGTGCATGAGAGCCACACGCATATTTGGCGCAAAGCATCATGGGATCTCGTCCACTGCGCAGAACCGGGAGGACAGGAAAAATGCCCAAATATGGCAGAGTTCTGCTTGTCTTTTGGTGCCCATGGTGGCACATTCGCTTCTGAGCATAAGCCATTGATTTGAATAGGACGCCATCTTGGATCGCCGAGGCTCGGTTGTACATTTTTCATCTTTACAACTTCTTGATTGCCAAAAAAGTAAGTTATACAACATGTTTTAAAACAAAACAGAAACATCAACATGGGTGCTCCACAATTTAAATTAAATAGCAAAAAAATAAACGCTAATACAGACGAAGGTCCCATTTCGTTTTGTAGGGCGCTAAGTGACATGTTAGTGCCAATGAACAAACTCAGACTCTAAGGACTTAGCATGGGGAGGCAGGGTTTCAGATTCCATCCATCCATCTTCTTCCCCTTAATCCATTTCTGGGTCGGGGGGGTATGGCCAGAGATGCCACCCAGTACACAGAGCACCAGCCCCTCACTGATCCTCCTGCAGGTGGTGAGTCCACAGGAGCTGAGATCTTTCAGTGGGGGCTTCAGGCAAAGTGGTGTTAAGTGTCTTGCCTAAGGACACAACGACAGCAGTCATCAGTGGGAGTCGTGAAGTAGGTCTTACGGTGGGCTTGAACCCACGACCTTCAGGCTCAAAGGCCAATGCTCTACCAACTGAGCTACTGTCGAAACTGGGTTTCGGATTCATACAGCTAAATAAGGGACTGTCTTCCTGAAAATGTGAGACAGGTTTCTCCTCAAAATATGTATAACCTGGATTTTAACATAGTCAGTTTAGCTGAGCATACAACTGAAGGATTGTAACTTTACTCTTTTTAATGTACTGTGATTGTTTAAGGTTTTAATGCTTTGTATGAATTGTCTTGTTTTGTAAAGCACTATGAGTTGTATAAACTGTGCCATACAAATAAACGTTCCTAGCCAAGAAGAGTTTTTTGTTTTGTTGTTTTTGTTTTGTTAATAGGGTAGGCACTATAAGCCACGGCTTCAGCCTACACCTACTCTGGTTACCTTCCTTATTTGCAACGAAATAGACATGTATATTTCGATTTGTTTGTAACCAAATAAACCTTCAATTCAAGAAGGAATGTCAGTTTTGCAGCACAAAGTATAAACCTAAAATAAACTCTGAGAAGACATATACTGTATGTTATGTTATAATGCCATAGACTGTAAATATTAACAGCCATAGTGACGGTTATCTTCACCTTTGAAGCTAATGTGTCATCCCTTTCCCTTACGCCGTGTCTTTTTGAAAATGTGAAAAAATGCATTTGTGCATGCGTTAGCCGGCACGAGCCCCATTCCTTTAACAAGTGCATTCAAACACACACAGCGGCTAAACTAAACAAAATACTCCCCTCAGCATTGACAGTATCAAGAACGTAGCATTGAGCCAAGAGCAGACTTTTGGACCAGGCTTGTAAGGCCGTTTACAAGAGTAAAAAAAGTTGTCATTAGAATTCAATGGACACCAGCGAGGGGTGTAAGCATGCCAGCGTACATGCTCATGGACTTTCTTGAGCCGGGACCTGCCTCCTCTGTATAATGCAGAGGCACATGCAGGGCTGGACTGGCCATCGGGCGTACCGGGCAATGCCCGAAGGGCCAATGTCCATATTTGGGCCGGCCTGTCTGCCTCATACAAAAACATGTTTGTGAAAAGTGTAAATCCGTTGAGAATTGTTCAAGGGGGGCACGTGTGTCCGCGGGCACCTGCTGTATGTACTCGAAAGGGATTCCGCCACCTCAGCGGCCGCAGTGTTCCCGGGCAGTTGCGGCCGCTTTGTAATGAGCGGTCCAGCTCAGAGCCTCTGGATGCGGGAACCGCTCACAACACAACACGGTGAGCGCGTAGCCGCAACGTGACAATGTACCCAAGACCATAAACGCGCACAGGACCAGTGTCTTTAAGTAATCTGTGCACCCAATAAATACACCGCTGCAGGAAACAGTCCGCGTCTCCCCTCTCCTCTTGAAGCGTGATTAAACGCCCTAAATTAAAGCTCGGGTACCTGCATTTTCCATTGCATTAAAAGTTCATGTTTGAGCCCAAAAGTAAAATGTTGTGAACAAATTAAACAGATTTATAGCCAGCAAATGGCTGACAATACGCATTTCAGACTTTTTTGACCAATTCTCATCCCTGTAACAAACAATAGTATTGTCTGTGCCCACCTCCCTCACTCTGAGACATGTTTATTACTCTCTTGTAATGTAGACTATTACACTTTATTTTATTGTTGAAACTGCAGAAATCCTGATCCTCTACAGTATTTGCTTCCACATACTGTATAAACCAGGGGTCGGCAACCTGTGGCTCTTTCCTTCTGTAGAAGGAAAAACATTCTTAACGTTTTTAAATGCTGTAAAATTGTGCATAAGTAATATTTAATTTCAACATTTCTGTCAACGTAGTGCATCATGTCCTGTGGCGTGGCCCGGCGCCAGGCGGCCGCTGTTGTAAACAAACCGGCGTGTGTGCATGGATCGCAAAGCTAAAAAGAGAAAGAGTTGATAATTAAACTGGAAAAAGAACAAGAATGAACATTTGCTTTCAGTCAATGAGGAAGGACTGCTTCATGTTTGTGTTGTAATGAGAAGTTTTGTTGCAACACGAGGAATAACGAAGAGCAAAACACCGTTCACGGGGATTACGTGAAGGATTCATTCATCAAAAATATAGAGCATCTATTTTCAGACTTCAAAAACCTCAACAAAGACTGTGAAAGAAAGGGTCCATTAAGGACATTAATTCAGCTCCAGCCAACTTCAGCCTGTGATGCGATGGATATGAACAGACAGTGTTGTGATGCAGGTGAACTCTGAACCAAAAAGCAGATTTATTTACTTTGATTTATTTGTACAATTGCATTTGTCATTTAGATATTAGGCTAATGTAGCTAATACATCTTCAGCCTGTGTTACCTTCATATAAGCCTTATACAAGGCTGTTATTTTTTTGCAGCTGCAGACAGATGTTGTTTTTAGTTTTTTTGTCAAATATGGCTCTTTGAACCTTTTGAGTTGCCGACCCCTGGTATAAACAACTGTAAAAAAAACGTGAAAAAACATGCCTGGGCCGCCAAGAAGGCAAAAATGCCCCGGCTGTTTTTTTGCCCCAGTCCAGCCCTGTGCACATGCACGTGTCCATTTACAGCACAGAAAAAGACATAAAAGAG